CTTGCCTAATAGCTTAGACTTATTTTTGACTAGCTCTTATAACGTAAATTAATCCATTCCTATTAATCTATGTGCTGCCCCCAAGGCTCGTTACCTCCTGTACGTACTTTCCATTCTGCTTGCTCTGCATCTCATGGCATCTGTTGAGGCCCCCTCCTGCTTATTCTTCCCAGCATTCTCTTAGTCTGGTTCTCCTGCCTAAACTTATCCTGCCTAACTATAGGCCAGTCATCTTCTTTATTAAACCAATCACAGTGACATGTATTCACACAGTGTAAAGGAATATAGCACAATGAGCTATCTTTACTGGCCCACAATATCAACTACTCTACATCGATTTTCATTTACTTGTGTACAAAGGCTTTTGACACTCATGAATCTTCCAAAAGTAATTTATTAATAAATGATAGCAGATCATTCTGTGCCTTCAGTGTCATCAGCTCCTTCACTCTCTTCTGCTTCAGTGACCGACAGTTTCAGGGCCGGCGGCATCACTTCCCCCTTGACGACCCTGGAAGAAGAGCAATGCCAAGGCTTTCTAACTTTGAAATGAGGAAGTTGACCTTAGCTTCTCATTTGAGCTAGACATTTACCATGGTACATCCTGAATGGCACTATCGTCCTGTGCAGAGGATTCCTTGACCTGCATTCCCTCAGTCATGCTTTTCTTTCGTATGTCACGTTTGAATAAATCTGTGAGCCACTGAGCATCTTGCCCTTAGCTCCTCATTTGAGCTAGACATTTACCTTGGTACATCCTTTTTGAAAATCTCCTCCTCTCCAGAGGACTCCTTGTCCTGTAGATCCTGAGCCATGTTTTTCTTGCGTGTGTCGTGAAGCCACTGTGGCCACCTTAGCCAGAAAAATCCTTCCTAGGAAACAGAAGGGGAGACATTAGTTCTGTTAGCCCCACCTTCTCCAGCCACAGCACCGAGTCTCGGGCTTACCTGATTCTCACTGTCCTTGTAGCATTTCTTACTCCTTGGAAGAAAACACATGTAGAAGACAGTTAGTGATTGTGCTGTGTGTGTGTGTGTGTGTGTGTGTGTGTGTGTGTGTGTGTGTGTGTGTTATTGTCTGGGGACATCTTGGCTCTCCCCATAACAAAGATCACCCCAGCACTGGGACTTAACAACAATTCCATGCATATCTGGCTTTTAGGAACTTTCCAAAAGATCTCCCTGGGGAGATCTTTGCCTGTGAATTGTCCTGGAGCAGAGGCACCAGCATGACAGTAGCCCCACTTATTCCACTGAACCAACTTCTCCCTCTGAAGAAGCCACTCTGGGCAGGAGCCCTTTGCTCTCCTGCAGATCAGCTCTCACAGGCAGACTTGCTGAGGTGAGGGAGGGGCTGTTCCTGCTTGCCTAGCTGCTTTATCCTCCAAGTACAAAGCCCAAGTCCACAGCACAGCTCACAGACTCACGGGGTTTCACCCTGCAGCCTGCCTCTGCTGAGGAGTTGTAAGAGCAGTTTAAAGGGCACAGGTAGCTGTGCATGATGGATCATGCCTGTGATTCCAATTCTTGGGAGGCTGAAACAAGATTCTGAGGCCAGTCAGGCAGTGGTGCATAATACCTTTAATCCCAGCGGTGGAAAGGCAGAGGCTGGCGGATCTCTGTGAGGTTGAGGCCAGCCGTGGCTACACAGTGAGTGCCAGACCAGCCTAAGTGTGAAACCATGTCTCCAAAAAAGCAGTAAAGTACATGACGAGAACCCACACACACATTAGTTATCTTTTCTGAATCCAAGGACAATTAGGAAACTCAGAGCATACTTTCCAGACATATACGCTGTACAGATTTGAAGTGAAATATAACCAAAGCCTGAGCAGAGAGGAACTAAAAACAAGGGCTCCACCAGGGAGAAAATGGTCCTCTTTCTGACATGCCCCAGAGAGTGACCACAGGACCAGACATTTCTGCCATTGTCCTTCATTTCCTCTTTAGAAGAAAGGTAACTATTGTCCATAATCTCTCCCAGCTATAGTTCTATGAGGTTTGTGTCACTCAAAGAAAGAAGAGGCTCAAAAGGTGACCAACAGGATGAGGATATGGACTTTCCTCCTCTGTACACTCACAGCCCTGCACTCTAACTCTGGGCTCCCCTGCTTCTTCTCCAAAGCATCCAATTCTGAAGTCTCTAGCTGGAGCAGACAACACTAACAAAAGCTGGTACAGCCTAAGCCTATTGATTTCACCCTCTTTCTTTGAAAGCCTGGTGGCAGCAGAGGCATCCATGCTAGTGCCAGGTGCCTCTTTGGGAGCCAGGCAAAACAACAGAGAGGATCATATTCTTTCTGGCAATTTTCTTCTCCCTGTCAGATGAGGGAATTAGGTGAGTTCCAAGTTCTCTGCTAACTCTCATGTTCTCTGTGAAAGATGGTCTCATATTTACCCTATGGACTTTTCTTCATCTTCCTCTTTTGTTCTGTGGGAATAAACCTGTTTGGGGAGAAAATGTAATTCTACTTATCACAATGACCACTGTTTCTAAATCTACTAATTCCTTTTACTTACCTAAAGTCTTACCTGTTCAGTGAGCTCAGGAGCCCATTCTGCCCTTCTTTGTCTCTTCACAACACCATCCTTTAGGTTTCACTTAATATATTATACTGATTATTTTAGATAAAATTCAGCAAATACTTCTTTCTTAATAAAAATAATTTCTGTTAAAAGTATGAATTTTTTGTTTTTTGAGATAGGGTTTCTCTGTTTAACAGTCCTGGCTGTCCTGGAACTAGCTTTGTATACCAGGCAGGTCATGAACTCACAGCATTCTGCCTCCTGAGTGCTGGAATTAAAAGTAAGCACTATCATGGTCAGGTGATTCAAAATATTTTTAACTCCATCTAAGTATACAGCAAAAGCCTAAGAAATGCACTGCTGAAGAGATCAAGAACAAGAGCAAGATGTCTCTATCACTGCTATAGGGTGGCCCTGGCCAGAGGTCTCCTCTGTCACTGCTATAGGGTGGCCCTGGCCAGAGGTCTCCTCTGTCACTGCTATAGGGTGGCCCTGGCCAGAGGTCTCCTCTGTCACTGCTATAGGGTGGCCCTGGCCAGAGGTCTCCTCTATCACTGCTATAGGGTGGCCCTGGCCAGAGGTCTCCTCTGTCACTGCTGCGGGGTGGCCTAAGGTGTCCAGAGGTCTCCTCTATCACTGCTGCAGGGTGGCCCTGTCAAGAAGGGCTCAATACACAATAAGGAAACTAAATTGGGAAGACAGGTGAAAAACTAGTACTATTTGTATTGGAAACAACAGACAACCAAAATGCTGACGAGATCAACTAAAACTATACTGGAAGTAATATGAAAAGTCAGTAGGGTGGAAAGTCACAAAACAAAGACGTCAGCACACCAGCTGGACTTGGTGGCACATGCCTGTGATTCTGAGGCAGGAAGATCAGGAGCTGAAGGTCAGCCTCAGGTACATAGTGGATTCCAGGTCATTCTGGCTATAGAAACCCTGTCTCAAGCTCCTTTTCTCCTGGGGCGGTGGGAAAATGTACAAATGAGAAAACAGTGCTAGACAAGAGCTAGGACGTAGTACAGAAGGAGCCTGCGTCCCCTGAGGTGGCAACACCCTGAGAACAAGAACATCCATAACTCATACAGGAGGAGACACAGGCCGGCAGATGAGTGGCCTCGGCTACAGACACTTTCCTTTTCCACTGGGTTGTTTTACCACGAAATTTATTAACGCTTTGGGTGGTTTGCAATGGTTTCCTAGTACTCTCACACTCCCAGTACTTCCTGTTTGTCTCTGAGGGGGCAAAACTGATCAGTGAAGGGTCCAGGTGCAGGCTTAGGGATCAGGGGAATGAATGGAGATTTACTGTTGGTTTGGCCACTGGGCCTAGGTGCTCTTCACCCTAGGAGAGGCTGATAAGCTCTTCCCAAGGAGTCTGAGATTAGATCAGACAAAGAATGGAGAACTCTGTGCTGTGCTCGGCAGGCACAAGCCTTCTATCCCGAAGGATGTGGAAGACAGCGTCCAGACCCAGCAAAGGCCTTTGCCTATGGAGTGGAAACAGACAGCTCTTCCCCCCACACATTTATTTTTAAAACCACTGCTATTTTTTCTCTCTCGCATGGTTTCTTTAAGGTAAGAAGGAGTAAGCTTTCATTACTTGGCCACAAAACAGTCAGGCAATTGTTCTCTTACCATTTACTCCATTTTCCACCGTTGACTAAACTATTAAATTACTCAAAAGTCTTAAGTGTCTAGGAATATAGCTCATGCTTAGCATGCACAGGCCATATAAATCCCCAGACCCCAACAGTAACCGCACTGTTTGTCCAATGCTTTTCTCTGTCTGTTACTATTTAATCTGTTTTTTTTAAGATAGCATTTCATATATCCCTGGCCTGAATTCACTACATTGCTGAGAATGACTGTGAACTAAGGGTCATCCTGCTTCTGTTTCCTAGGAGCAAGGACTACAGAAGTACACAAACATCTTTCTCTGATGCTATTTTAATAAGTACTGATTTCTATCACCCTCATAGTAGAATTGATGGAATGCGTCATTTCTTTTCTTTGAATACCACTGTTATCTACTGTAGGCAAAATACTGGGCATGCTTACTCTACTCACAGAGTATCATCTAAATTGGCAGAAAAAATAATGAAAATGTGAATAAATTCCAGCACAGTGGTGAACAGTACACACCACTAAAGAGCAATATAGGACTTTACAGAGATTTCCCTGGAGGTCACAACCACATTAGGTGTGGAGGTGCTGCCTGTACAGGGGCCAGAGGACATCCTCCCGGAGGTCATGAACTGACCCCATGCTGATTTCTGCCTTCTAGCCTCAAAATTCCACCATCCTCACTGACAGAGAACTCCCCACTGCTCCCACAGCCTCTCACCGCAACACCACCAGTCTGACACCAAATCAGAACGTTACATAATGACCTGACATTGAGGAGCCCGACTTCACAGAGTACCTGTGGACACTCGGGGGCATTATTTGTAGACAGAGAGGGTCAGTGGCTCAGGTTTTCAGTTCGTGGCCTCTAAACCTATGACACAGACCGGGCACATGCTGGACACAGGAATGTATCGTTGTCCTTACCTCAACGAGACAGAAAATGATAATCAACACTGTCAATACTACAGTTACAGATATTGCCAAGATGACTTTGTTGTTGTAGCTGTATCCCGGAACTTCTTTTGTGCGCTGGAATATATGAAATAAATGAATGGACATTTGTGTGGCTATTAAATAATAATAAAATTAAAAGAATGACAGAAAGTGAAGGCTAATTGCTTAAAATTCCTTCTTGGGCTTGTGAATGGTAACTTATATATAACCTAGCAATTGGGAAGTTAAGATAGGAGGACTGCCATAAGTTCAAGGACAACCTAGAACACCAGGTAAGTTCTAGGATATCCTGGATTATACAAAAAGACTTTGACTCAATAAAACTAAGAGCTGGGCTTGGTGAGGCTCTTAATCCCAGCACTCTGGAGACAGAAGCAAGTGAATCTCTGAAAGTTCAAGGCCAGCCTGGTCTACACAGCAATTTCTAGGCTAGATATAACTACATAGTGAGACCCTTTCTCAAACAAAACAAAACAGAATGCCCCAATAGCACAATAAACAAAAGCAAGACTATGGGCTACAGTATATAGTTTAGTGATCAAGTCCTTGTATATTATGTATACAAGGTCCTGAATTTAATCCCCAACACTATAAAATAAAATGACAATATGAAAAAAATAATAAAAGTTTTCTACATTAGTAGCTTGCAGATTTTAAAAGAACATACCAAATTAAATGTGCTACCTATCTAACACAATTATTATGTTTTGAGTTTTAGGTTGCCTTCTGTCAATAAATTTAGAACCATAGTGAGAACCACTGTCTTGGCTGGGCTAGTGTTATGTGGACAATACAAGATCTGGAATAGAAGCCTCCAGTCTTTCTGCTTAAATGACTGAGAGGGTACAGGGGACTCAGTTCCAACATTGTCCTCACCTGACTTGGTTCCAGACCCTTCTGTCCACCTTGGGTTTCTGGGCTCTCATTGATGTAGTTCTCAGTTTTCCACTGGTCCGTATCCCAGTCGGCCCTGGACAACTTGAATTCTTGTTGCTCACTGAGAAGCTTCATCAGGAGGCCGGTTCTGGAGATGAGCTTGGCACAGGACAGTTGCACACTGGGATCAGAGCAGTCCATCTTCAAAGTCCTGATAACGTGAGAAATAAGCCTTCTCACGTTGTTGTTGGGGATGAGGGGCCGCAGCTGCTGGTTTAGCTGAGATTCAAAGCGTTCACCTGGTGACATCAGCAACGAGTAAGCAAATTCATGGGAGTCAGGCCCCAAGATGAAGTCTAACTGTGGCTTGCTGGCTTGCTGAAGAGTTGTAATTGAACCAGATGCAGGCACATTAGACTCTACAATAGGATTCTCAGAGGGTATAATTTCTGATGCAGCTTCTTCAGGCACAGTGATGTCTGTTGGAATTAAATCGGAGGTAGGCACATGAGACTTTACAATAGGATTCTCAGAGGGTATAATTTCTGATGCAGTTTCTTCAGGCACAGTGATACCTGTTGGAATTAAATCGTATGTAGGCCCAAAAGACTCTACAGCAGTCATTTCAGGGAATATATTTTCTGATATAGGTTCTTCAGACATAGGGGTGGTTGGTTCAAAGATGTGTTCTTGAATATCATCAATATCAGATGCAGCCAGAGGTTTTTTGGAAAGAAGTTCTAAGGCAGCATCTAATTGTGCAAAAGGCTTTTCTGCATAACTCAGGTCTCCTAAAGATGAAAAGACCCCTCCTGCAGGGGAATTTACCAGGCTCCTCACTGCAGAGGATGCTGGACTCTTTGCAATCAACCGGAAATGATAGTTTTTCTTCCTAAGGTTTCTATGTCTCTTTTCAGATAGTAAACTAGGGCTAGACCCCTTCATTCTTTTCACATTGGCATTTGCACTTTCTAAAACAAAAATGGTGTAAGACAAGTCTTTTCGTCTGTCTATGAACGCAGGCAGTGATTTTGTAGTGGGAGTCTTGTCCACCAGTGACTGTTCTGTGGAAGAAGACACTGCCTCCCCATGCTCCTTTGGGAGCAAGGGCTCTGGGTGGAAGGAATTTCCCACTGACATCCTGGGCTTCTGAACCAGACTGAGCTGCTGCAACTCTGCTGTGGGTGGGCTCCCGAGCTGCCTGTCTTTGGCAATACTCTCCACAGGTGTCTGGACACTCTGCTTATTCCACAGGCTCTTGTCACTCACTCCCTTAAAGTGCCTTTTCTGTATGCTTCCTGTCCTCTTGAGCACTCGGTTCAGGCTGTGGAGTCTTTTCTCTGCCTTCTCAATCTCTGCAAGACTGTTTTCCTCTGCCTGGGCAGGTGCCCAACTCTGTCCAAATATTTGTTGTTTAAATTTTTTACCTGAATTATTAGACTTCTCCTTATGTAGTATAGTTTCCTCTTCCTTTTTAACCTCATCAATTTCTTCATCTAATAACTTTTCCAGAAAATAAAGTTCATTCAATTTATTTTTGTTAGTGAAGTTACCAGATTCGGATTCATTTGTAGGAAAAAGACTTTGTGTATCATTCTGCAAAGATCCCAAGGAACTCTCTGAATCTTGGTCATGAGAAAACAGCAGTTTAATGTATGGTAACATTGTTGATACTACATCTTCCAGATTTCCCTCAGAGAAATATGGCAGTATGTAATTCAGGGCACTCATAACATCATTTTCATCATTAAAGTCGATATCTTCTTCCATGGAGCTGGAGTACTTGGCATTTTCTTGGTCTGAATAGCCTGTCTCTGGTTCAATAATGAGTTCAGTGCTGTTATTCTCCTTCCGGGTCTGCAACACCTTCATGAATGCCCCTTCTGGGTTCCCTATAGATGCCTCCTCAACTGTCAGAGATGGAGAGATTGTTTTTAGTCAGAGAATACTTTTACCCCTTTCTCAGCTCATAGTCACACACTGTAGTCAAATAAATTATGGGCCAGCAAATACTGGTATGCCGTGTGTGTGTGTGTGTGTGTGTGTGTGTGTGTGTGTGTGTGAAAACACACTAAACTACACACTAAACTAAATTCTGTGAAATGGGAGCAACCGAAAGAAAGAGTGTCATTGGCAAAGTAGGCACCACCTGGGAACATTCCACAGTGTGCACACAGGAAGTCTATTCAAGACAGCCAGTGGACCAGTAGAGAGAGACCCAGAGCCTGAAGACAAAGCCAGCTTTTCTTCTCTGCATGGCTGACTGAACCTCCTCAGGCTTCTACATCTACACCATCTGCCTCAGATTCGAGAGGCCCACTAGGTTTCCTCTCTCCATCGTTTCAATGTGCCCTCTGTTGATACAACCTCAGCTAACTATGGTGATGGACAACCTTTGAGGGGAATGAGGCCAGAAATGCTAAAGCAGGTGCCTCTCATTCACATCTGGATGTGTGTCCTTCTCCACCTACCCGCCCAATTTCTTCCTATAGGTTCTGTTGCCATGTATTCTAGCTCCTGAAACAGGAGCATCCTCTCTGTGCATCTTTCTGGTTCTTGCCTGAGTGAAGGGGGTTATGAGGTGTAGGTGAAGACATGTTTAATGTACTGGGTTTTATTCTTATGTAAAATCAATTTATAGAATAGCAATTTCTGGATAAAACATTACTCGAACTCATAAAATGCACAAGGTCAGAGCTACTCTTGTCTGAAGCCTGTTCTCACTTCATTTCTCATTCTTCCAGGTCCACATGGGAACAATACAAAGCTTCTGGTAGTAGGAAGGTCAAGTGGGTCACTGTGTAGCTGTGTTTCTTTCCCAGGAGAATTGAGAGGATTTGAGGTGGTAGTGAGGGCCTGAAAGAGTGGTGAAAAGAAAAATGTGTGCCTGTGGACTGCTCAGAATTAGGAAGTGATAACTCAAGCAAGAGGCAACAGCAGTTGACACCTCTGATGTGTAAAATAAGAGAAATGCTTATTTGCCATTTCTGTGGGAAAAAAAAGAATAATGTAATTGGTTTCCTAAATTAAAAATAAATGACATTCATATAGACAGTCAAATGCCACTTCTATTTCTCTTCTCCAGATCAAGGCTAAAGACTTGCATTCAAACTATTTAGGCAAGAAAACGGTCATATTTTGGATGAAGTTATTGCTAATAAACCTAATACATAGAAAATATTTTAGGGCTAAGCACAAGCTATACAATCAAGCTGTATCCCTGTCCCCTTTTAAAATATTTTTTTTTAAAAAGTGAGACAGGTTTTCACTAAATTGCTTAGACTGGCCTTGAACTTGGATCATCTTGCTTCAGCCTCCTGAGTAGCTGGGATTATTGCCATGTGCCGAGATATTCAGTTTAGAAAAACACTTAAAATTACACGAAAGATTTGGCGATAGAAAAGCCTGAGGTTCAAAACAAGTAGGGAGGTGGTCGGTGTGGGCATGGAAGAGCTCCCGGCTCCAGCAGCACAGTGAGGCAGCACTCACTGCTCTCAGATTCCAAATAAAAAGGCATCACTTACAAAATTAAGAAAAGAAACCAAACAAAATCTGTCTAGAGATATCAAAAGTAGGAGATCACTTGAGACCTAATGTACAAAAAGCCAGCTTACAGACTGAAGTGTACTATATGCAAAAGTAATTTTTGGAAGCAGGATACCAGGCAGACAGCATAGTGAAGAGTCTGTGGTCATCTATGTTATCTCTCTCCCATTTACCCCTTTCTTTTGCTCTTTCTGCATATGGAACAGTTCTATTATCTAATCATGCAATAATAGCTGAGAATCCAACTTTCAGCAAAAGAGAAGGTGTGGATGAGTCTTTTTCATAACTAGTTAAAAAGTAAGACATAAAATTAAAACATTCATCAGGCAAGAGACTCACGACAATGTGTGGTGTTTGTCAGACATCCAGTATGGCAATGCAGTTTGACTGTCTTGCAGACAACCTCAATATCAGTTTTATATTTGCAGAGGCAGCAGGCCATATGTCTAGGTAAGATTCTGTAAATAGAAAAACAGAGAATTGGTTTACTGGAAAAGCCTTACTAAAGTACAGAAGAGGCAGGCCAAGGCCACCACAGGGTCACAAGAGGACAGAGTTTTTGAGGCATGTACAGTTGGGTGGGGACTCAATGGCAAATTGCTGCTCTCTAATACTGAAAGTAATCATGGAGGAGGACAGAGGTGTTCAACAGAAGAGCAAGTGTCGTGTGTGTGTGTGTGTGTGTGTGTGTGTGTGTGTGCCTTTAACAAAAGTGACAGGAACAGAACCAGGTGACACGCCTAAAACAGGAGACAAAAACAGAACTAGGAGATGTTGATAGTAGAAGCAACTCCCCTCAACTCAAGTCTCACTCTGGGTTGGTCATGCACAGGGCCTGAGCAAGCATCCAACCTAGGGATGCATTTCTCTATTCCTACTATTAGATTAGTAGAGATTATGTGAGGCCTAAAATAGCCCACTTTAACCCATACTTTATGGTTAAATGGCAACATGGATCACATTGACCAAATCTGGATTATTTTTGTGTTCCAATGAATAAGGGCCGTGGTGCAGTTCTTTGGCATGGTGTTTGCGTAGTGGTGCAAGGCCCTGGATTTGATCTATGTGTGCATGTGTGTGTGTTTGTGTGTGTGTGTGCATATACATACACACACATTGATAGACACAAAGAGAAAGCAAGAACAAAGGAGGAATAATAAATTATAATGAAATACAATAAATACAATATAATGTAAAGACAATCTGAATTCCTAATGATACTCAAAAAGAAAAGCAGGGTAGGTCTTCAAGAAAACACTAGTTAACTGATGTTGAAAAGATTTTGTAACTATCAAGTAATAATTAGTTGCAACAAGGTTATCAAAAACAGCCATGTAAAAGAAGTTTGAGAATAGGATCTTTAAGGTCTCAACAATTCCATAGGTTCATCCTTTCTCCTTCTCACCTCTTCTCCTTTCTCCTCCTGTGTTTGTTTTTTGAGACAAGGTCTCTTTATGTAGCATTGACTGTCCTGAAACTTGTTATATAAACCTTTTGGGCCTCAAATTCATGGAGATCCATGAGCTCCTACCTCCTAAGTGCCACCGTCAGTCACTGGATATTCTCAAATTACAGTATATAAAAATAATAATTTGAAGATCTTCAACATTCTACTTTACATGTGATCAAACTCAGCATGAAAGGTCACGTAAAGTCCCATTCAAGAAAGCAGTACAGATATTTAACCTGATTACTGATGAGGAAACAGACAAATCCAGCCTGGAATGTCAATTCATGGCTCATGAAAAAGTAGTGAAATGTCTTTGATAAAAACCAAAAACATGACAGGTAACGCCTGCCATATATTGATCTTGAATCAAAACAAAAAGATGTAAAGAGTAGTATCGACTTCTGGCCAAAATAGAGTGAATGGATTTAACCTCCCTCACTCAAAACCAAGAAAACAAATATTCAAAACCAAATCAAACTAAACCAGGGTGCTATTTTGTTTCTGTTTTTTTTTTTTTTGGTGGGGGTCGGGGGAACAAGCAAAGACAGCTTTATTTAATGTGGCTACACTTGTGACAACAAACACCAAAAGAGTCTTGTGATCACAAGTCCATCTTCAAGGGCTGACATAGCTTTGGATCTAGGTGGGGGGAGGGGCAGGGCTATGCATAATTCTAGCAACCCTGATCAAGGAGTGGTCTGATTGATCACTGTTTCAATTCTGATACTTTTTTTTTTCGGTTTTTCGAGACAGGGTTTCTCCACAGCTTTTGGTTCCTGTCCTGAACTAGCTCTTGTAGACCAGGCTGGCCTCGAACTCACAGAGATCCGCCTGCCTCTGCCTCCCGAGTGCTGGGATTAAAGGTGTGCGCCACCACCGCCCGGCCTCAATTCTGATACCTGAGGGTAGTCCTTAAGAAGTTATTACCAGCCAGGCGATGGTGGCGCACGCCTTTAATCCCAGTACTCGGGAGCCAGAGGCAGGCAGATCTCTGTGAGTTCGAGACCAGCCTGGTCTACAGAGCTAGTTCCAGGACAGGCTCCATAGCCACAGAGAAACCCTGTCTCGAAAAACCAAAAAAAAAAAAAGAAGTTATTACCATTGTCATAGCCTGAAGAGAAAGATCTAGTCCTCATTCAATGATTTCTGTGTGTGTCCCTACTACACTGAAGAACCGTTCCACTTGGAAGTAGTCTTGAAGTAGTATGTGTGAACTGTCTTGAGGACTACTGTCCAGTAGGATGACTGCTAACCTTGCACAAGTCAAGGGTCAGAAGACTCACACTCTGTGTCTCCTCAAGTCTACAGTGACAAAATGCAGTGATCATGGACTACAATCTCTGAAACTGGGAATTCAAGAAAGTTTTTCCATTTAGTTGTCTTTCTTGGGTATTTTGCCACAGCGGTGAAAAGATGACTATAGGGGGCTGGAGAGATGGCTCAGTGGTTAGGAGCACTGCCTGCTCTTCCAAAAGTCCCGAGTTCAGTTCCCAGCAACCACATGGTGGCTCATAGCCATCTGTAAAGAGATCTGGTGCCCTCTTCTGGCCTGAGGCACACATGTAGACAGAATACTGAGAATACTGTATACATAATAAATAAATGAATCTAAAAAAAAAAAAAGTTGACTATATACTAACTTACTGCCCTGGAAGACATTCTGTGTTGCCAGGAGGGAAACACAAAGTAACAAATGGCAGACAATTTGATGACAGAAATGGAGTTGAGAAATCAAGAAAATCAAAGTGACTATAGTTGACGGGACAGAGTATCATAAGGTAAGAGGCACACTGAGAAAAAGAGAACCATGAAGCCAGATAGCTCATGTATTCAGCAAAGTACTAAATACTGTGTGTGAAGAAACTACTGACAGACGGGGGGGGGGGGGGACCTGCCAATTGAGTCATAAAGAATAATAATTTAGTTTCGTAGGTGGTTAGGAATCTTGTCTGTTCACACATGCAAATAACAGATGGCCACAGGGCACTCACACATGCCAGGCAGGAGAACTAATGGCCGATGGCCACAAGGCACTTAGAACATATATTAGGAGTTATAAATCAGAGGTTGTAAAGGCTACTTTATATTACCCTCTCACAAACCTTCACTGATAGATTCAAAATGGTGAAATCCTTTTGAGTAACAATAGCCATACCTGGGAGCACATAGGAATATCAACATCTACGATATACCCAAACTGAAATTTACTACAATGTTTGGAGTAAGAAACTTGCCATGCAAAAAAAGCAAGAAAAGTGCACATCTGTAACCCCAGCATTCTGGAGTCAAGGGCAGTGATCGCTGTGAATTTGAAGCCAGCCTGGTCTTTACAGCAAGTTTGAAGACAGCCAGGGCTACATGGTCTCACTGATATTTTGATCAGACTCTGACACTCCTGGTACTAACAATAAAGTTTACCTTGAATCAGAGGGTGGAGCTAGCTACTAGCTGACCAGAATTAGCCATAGAAGTTTTGAAGGACCCAGGACATATAGAGAGAGACCCATGAATTATTAGCAGGGGCTTAATAAGAAAAAAGAGGGGCTTAGAAAGATTCACAGGCCCTTTTTGGATGGAGGAAGGAAAGAGAGAGGAGTCCAATGGTTGTTTCCCCCACCGTTTCTCTGATCAATCCAGTTTTTACCCTGATACCTGATCCCGAGACAGTTGCTGGCTGTCATTCAGTCAGTTCTGTGCCCTCACTTCCTGCCAAGCAGGTTTCTCCTGCACATCCCCCTCCCCCGTGTCCATTTTTCAGGTGGCTCACTCCCTCTCCCTGAAGCTTGTGGGCTTTCCCTGGACCAGCCTGCTTGCCTTGACACCTGCCTGCACCTGCTAGTCTTCTACTGCTGCTGCCACTGCTGCACACCCTCAGCCCCTGGGGATATGCAAGAAGCTGCAAGTGCTCTCGACCCAGATCGTGCAGTGCAGCAACGTCCCGCTGCCACTCCAGTGGGCACACGGTACTAGCCTGGCTACCTAGGTACCCCGAGGCACTCCCCACAGTCAAACACTGCTGCTGTAGAAAAACTGAGAAGTCAGCAGATCTGGTGAGACACCCAGGAATTCTTAAGGAGGAAATGAAATTTTATTCAAAAGTCTTTAAAGAAAATTTCAAAACAAAAGTCTTTCTAACGTTAAGAATGGGGAACAATATTATGATACAGAGAGTTAGGACGCTGTATGGTTTGAAAATGAAAAAAATTAAATGAAGGAATAATCAGCTTAGCTGGGATTGACATGTTAATTATAATTATCACTTTGGTAATTCATGTTATATACTTTAAAAAGTAGTTTGATATTGGTTCCAAGTATAAAAAAATTGACTGATAAAATACAATCCTTAGAAAGATCTACGAATGAAACTAAGACAAATATTCACACACAGACAGAGGAATTTAGAACAGAACCTACCACATTGAATTATGAAACTGAAGAGGAACAGCCCAAGGCTATTAGAAAACCAATATCCAGTTATCATACAAGAACAAGTACCAGATGACAGGCAGCCCCAAGGCTATCAGAAGTTAAATGGATCCTGTAGAAATGTTAGATTTGAAAAGATTTAAAGAAGCAGTTGTTTCATATGGTATGCATTCACACTCTGTGAAACAAATGTTAAATTCATAGAGAACTCAGAACAGAAATACCCCCACAAGACTGAAAAGCTTTAGCTACAGCAATCTTAGAAGGTAGTTCTCAGTTACAATGAAAAATAAGGGGGAGAAAGGAAGCTAGGATCACAGAACAATGAAGTAGGGCCAGAGGTATGGAAATTTCCCAAGACCAGCTCCTCAATGAAGGTGAGCATGCTGATTTGCAAAGACAGTTTAGATTTGATGATCACATCTTGGCCATATGTTGTACAGCAACTTTGGATGCTTGGGACAGGGATGAAGAATCAGGAAAGAGGACTGATTCATTACTAAAATTATACAAGGCTCCATAAACCCTTCACTGATTTTTTTTAAACAAAGATTGACTTTAGCTGTGTATAAAATGTTATCG